TGTTAACCCTTTATAAAAATATGAAACCAATCTTCATATATCCTAACATTGGTAAAATGTTTCTTCTGGTTTTTTAGTGAAAGTCGTGATTTGTCTTTTGAAAGAGTTTGTTCTCTAAGAATAGAAAAACTTCATTAAAAACTGTTGTTACATTTCATCCCAAGCAAAAATGGATCTAGGTCTCAAATTTTATAGCCATGTTTTAGCTTTACCTTTAAATAAAAAAGGAAAAAGCTTTAATTTGATGGTGTTCATACTATAATTTAAGTTATTATAGGTGGTGCAGACGTCCTCAAATCCTCTTAAATGCAAGTATGGATTTTTCAAATCTAAGCCATGAAAAAAAGGTAAAAGTTGAATAACGCCTAGCTTAAAATTAAAATGAAATGCATTAGGAGGGAAAACTATGCAGGATGGTGCATTTATTCTTGTGGGATTCATGTGGTCTTTAAATGTTCTAACACGATTATTGTCATTATTTTCATTATAAAGTAACTGGCTATCTTCTTCGACTATATTTTCTGAAAATGATGAGGATACCCCACAAAGTCTACCACTCAATGTATGTGACCACACTCTCATGCACGTATCGAAATAGAATAAAAAGAAAAAGAAAACAAGAGAAGAAAAACAAAGTTATATATAAGAAAAGTGAAAAGAGAAAATAAAATAAATACTATAATTTATGTTCTTATCTTGTTTATTTATTTTTCTTTCTTTCATTATGTCTAGCTAAATTTATTATGTCAAGGTGAAAAGGTTACACTAATTGTGTAAGAATAAGTATAGTGTAAACTTAATATGGACTTTAATATTTGATACTAACATGTTTTGTATTTGTTATCTTGTTCACTCTTTAATACTTTGCTTGTTAAATAACTAATCTTGATTTATGTTGTATAACACTTGGTACAACAAATGCTTGGCACTTTCATAGCCCATAATGTATGGTATAACCGACACCTGAGCTATGAAAGGAACTTGATTTATTGTTAACATAAGTTATAATCATGAAAGCTTGACGAGATTTACAAGTATTAGCATTAATTGAATAAGATGACTAATGTAATCATGTTAACAATATATAATCTGATTGGAACCTCCTTTGTGTGTGGTTTCCAATTCAATAATAAGAGTTTATACTATACTTGTTTGATATACCATTAGTGAAACCTCTAACCTTGACATTTGTTATTATCAGTTATTTTCCCAAAACATCATTGATAACATCAA